AAGTTGATACTTGTTAAGGGCTTGCAATGGGATATACATTGTTAGCAAATTAAGAAATCAATCTATACTAATATAAAGCTGATTTGTTTGTTTGAACGCGCTAATCTCAAGAACTGCAGCTTCGAATTGCAAAATTATTTTTGTGTTGGTTAGAGCATTTATCGAGGAAGGCTTTTATATAACACGCTGCGACCAATAGGAGCGAGGGAACTGTAGGAAATGTGAATATGTGGAGAAATGTGGAAAATTATTCATCATTACACAATCGGACATACGTAAGATGTGTACGCAAAATAATGTCTATTTGTTAAGATTAACTGTCAATAACGATGCGACGCGGATAAAAGCTAGTAGTAGCAAAAATATCGCTTTAGTTTTATAATAAAAAAATGAGGTCGCGATAAGACGTGAAGATGTGCAATTCACTACCCGCATGCAAGTACTAATACAAACATAGTCGTGATAATCTTGTTTAAAACATAACCATAGTTATAGAGATTTAAAAAATATTACCGAAATATATTTAAATTACAGAATAAGTATGATGGATAATATTAAAACAACAAATGTACACTATCTTAAGTGTTTTTTAACGTTTTTCCTTCAGTTATGATGAACGTGTGGAAAAAGGAGCTAAAACTCTTTTAACGGTTTAAAACGCGAAATGTATTAGTTAAATTAAGTTATGCCGCCATGGTCGCGGGGGAAGTTAGATTAAAAACATATTTCGCGTTTTAAACCGTTGACAGTTTTACACAAAATACTTAACAATTAGTGTAAATTAAAAAAAAAAACTAATAACTCAAAAAAACGTTTTAAAATTAATCAACGTTTTTAATTTAAAAGAATAAATGAGTATTTAACATATTAATTATAATATCATTTAGATTAAGAAAACAGTTGTTAGAATTGTGTTTTTTTTTTGTTGTTTCTCAGGTTTTACGTAGTAAAAATCTACCACTTACTACTTAATGTAAAGACGATCTGTAATTTCTCTTACGTGCAAGTGTACATTACAACTATAAATAATACATTAAATCAAATCGAAAATCATTTATTCGTTAAACGTTACTTTAGTTCAAAACTAAAGACTTACTTTACATGTACAAAATTTTCGTAGTATTTAGTTCAAAACTAAAGACTCACTTTACATTTACTACCAGTTTTCAAATCAAGGGCGTAGAACGAACGAGAACTGGCAAGTAACTCGCCGCCACTCCTTTTATCGTCAAGTTTTTTAGAAGGTGTCCAAACCCCAAGCCTTGTGATCATTTAAATATTTATGTTATAATAACTCTTTTCAAGCAATTTTTAATTTAAAGTAAACTTAACCGACGTTAAACGTGGGTTGATTTAAGGAAAATAGCCTAACAAGAGAAACTAGCCGGCGGCAGACACAGCTTCCAATTGAATTAAAACACGAAGCTATGTCACAAACGGCGCGTTGTGATCTATAAATTGCTCTCGCTATTTTAAAAACGTTGTTTACAATGCGTTTTAGTATTAAGTTTGTATTCTTTTAAACAAGCGTTTTATGCGCAATTGGATTGTTTCATTCATTAATTCTTTGTGGATTTAACTATCTACTTACGTATTCTTTAATTATATTTATTTAGGGGTAAGCGTAGTTGGGATGTGTGTTATAGGAAATAGTTTGCTTGGCTTATTACACATGTTAGCTCATGTGTTTTTGTGTTTGAAAAAGGTATAAAATCTACAATGATTACTGAAATTATACTACCTGTATTGAGATACTTACTGTCTACCTCCGAACCAGTAGGAAATATAATAGTAGATATTCGTTTAAATAATACACTGTAACGATTTAAAACGCGATATATACGGCCCGACATTTCGGATGCTTTGCAGCAGCCGTAGTCACAGGAGACGACGGATCTCACAAATATAAGTCGCGTTTTAAACCGTTAAAGTATTTTATAATAATGTGCACTACTCGCGTAAACTACAGACAGTAGTAGAGATTCGATTAAGTGCCGTATATAACAGACAATAATATGTCCCAAGCCTAACGAATGGTAAACGGAATTAAATTAAATAAAAATGACCTTCAAATTCCCATACAATAAGAATGTAATGAGCAACAGACATTTTTAGATTTTTAAATTATTATTGACGTAACTTTGTTACATTAGATATAGTAAAACATAATTGTTAGTAAGGGAAAACATGGTACAAAACTACTTGTTATGTAAATAAATCAATTTTAACAGGTAGAAACGTAAATTATATTAGTTAGCTTATTTTAATTTATTTTAACTACGTAAGTTAGTAAGAGCAAACATGTAAAAAATTTGAATTCCTAGAAATTTAAATAAATCAATTTTAACAGTTTAAAACGCCAAATATTTTAATTACTACAATGATTTACGAGATGGAAAATTCCTTGAATTTATAATTTTTTAATGAAACTATATTGACTCAAAATTTTATCAGTATCGGTCAAGCCGTTGGACGAACACAATTTATGTCCTAAAATACTTTCGAGTTTATAATACTTACAAGATAATCATCCTAAGTATTATAAACACAAAGTGAAGATATTTTTGTGTAATTTTATCTGTTGGCTCGGCGTGCAGAGAATCGACCTAAATGGTTTGATGGGCACAAAACGTGTGTTTAAAAAGAAGTATGTTGGTACCCACTCAGTTGATTATTTGAGACTCGAAGATACGCGATAAACGCTCTATAAGATTATTTTAAGCCTGTTTACATTTCATTACTACGTACGTAAAAATATATAACGATTTAAATAAAACACTTTAACGGTTTAAAACGCGATGTATTAGTTAAACTTATTTGAAAATTAATTTTAACTACTGCCCGACGTTGCGGATGCTTTGCAGCAGCAGTGGTTACGGGGAGTCTCCCCGTAGTTAAAAATAATTTTCAAATAAGTTTAATTAATACTAGCGTCCCGCCCTGGCTTCGCGTGGGTGCAACGCTGATATTAGAAGTACACTATAGAAAAACTGTGAACGTTGATTGTGATGAACTGTGATTTGATCTTGAATCATTCTACTATTTAAAAAAAACTGATAACTCTATAGTGATATATCGCGTTTTAAACCGATAAAGTGTTTTATTTAAGTGTGTTCTACTCGGGTAAACAACAGACAGTATTTAATAGAACAATTGGAGTAATGAATAAATTTATTTGTTGAACGAACGCATCCTACACCCGTCGCGTTTAAATCCGCACTGTCGCATTTATCTCTCACGCGTAAATCGTCCGATGCAAGCGAATAAAAAAAAAATCTCACTAATTACAATATAAAAGTGTTATTCGTCGTTATCTCAACACTTGCGTAAATAATTGTACAATAAATTACATTTACGCATATCATCTACTCGCTCTCTAACTGTATCGATGATAAAACATCGCCGATGATAATAAAAGTTTGGCATTTAGATTAATTAACCAACGGTAGGAACGTGTCGTTAAAAGAATGGGTCGTTTGAGCCGACATTTGATTTTAAATTGAGCGTTGCATCCCGCGTGACGCGTGCCAGACAATGTCGGCCGCGGCCGACTAGAGCGTGCCAGGACCAAGCTGACCAGACCCAACTAGTGAATGGCTCTCTTATGATAGACGACAGAAGCTTGATGAACGGACCTCGAGCATATAGCATCTAAGGGCTTTGGATATTCAGGAATGCACAGACTGAAACGCGATTAAACTTCACAGCTCTTATATCTGTAGACGGTAGTTCGTGATTCGGATAGAATTTCGATATTCTTACCGCCTATTAAATATGCAGATTAAGTCGAAAACGTTTTGGACAGTACCCACGACGGTCCGTTGATTATAATAATTTAGCCATACATTGCTTTCATTCTCGCCTGCCAGTGTTGATGGGAGTACGAGACGCCCGGTTCCAATTTCAAATTCAATCAAGGCTCTTTATTCAAATATCTAATTGAAATCGCTTCAGCACAAGGTTAGTTTATTGTGTCATCAATGAAGCATCAGCGCTAAGCGGTCACACTGTAATACACAAATTGATTGATGTGTTTTCACCGATTCTGTCAGCAAGGTCTTTTATGCCGGGAACTCATTCTAATTTCATACTTATTAGAAACAGTAGGTACGTTGATATTAGAGGAATCAATCATGGGTTAAGTAAAGAGACGCCTAGTCGTAAATTGTGGAGATAAGCTGATAAAGACGTCGCGGTTAGCGCTCCGTTCCTTCCCAAATATCTCAACCGTTCTAATTTTATAATAACCGTTCCCGCTCCACAAATACATCATCTATTTTCTTATTGTTCTCTCGACACCGCACCGCACTATGTTCCTATATTTATTTTCAAAATCCACCAAAGAACCGTTGCTACATTTAATCTTAGACTTTTTAATACGAAAATGTTATTCTGGTGGCACTGAAACTCTGTTAGCATAGTGATTTCGACACACACTTAGATATTTTTATATCATAGCGATAAGATATATTTATAATAACATATTTCTTCAACGCGTAAATCACCTTCGAGCGAATTGTAATTTCAAATTACGAATGAAATTATGTGTAAAATATATGACTTTAGTTCACTACTGTATTAATTTACGAGTCGAGTGATCGAAACAATGTAAAAACTAGCCTCGGGCCGTACGTAAGTGGAGACTTAGCAGAACTTTATCGTAAAATAAGTTAATTACTGATATCGGCTACATATAGCTCTGCAATTCGAAAATCACATGACTGGGATGTGTTGCAAACGCGAACATGTGATATTTCTACGAGTATTCTAAGACTCCACGCTGCGCTCCGGTCACATGACTAACGCCTTGGCAAAAATATAATATAGAGCTCCTATACGCGTTGCTCAACTAATGCCGAAGTGATAATAACAAACACTCATTCGCGGTACATTTAGCCACATCGTATCGTGTGGATCGAAAATATTATATTATTACGAACAATTTGAACCGCTCATAATCTCGGAACTGACAAAAAATCACACTTGAAGACAGTGCGTAGTTATTTTGAAACGCGGAACAGAGTGCTAGCAAAAAATGTTTGGAAAACTTCTAATCTGAGTCTTAAGGTCACCGGGTATCGATCGGCGACAGCTGACACCGGTACCACAGCGCCGACTCCAGCCCTCTGCACCACTTTCCTACCACAATACACCAAGTCGATACGAAGCTCGTTTAGGGCCCCGTACGTGCGAGACACTTCCGTTCATCCGCATAATGTTATACTATACGTACTCGAAATTCGGTGTGGGGTAAGGGACGGGTCGATCGAACTCTAGCGGACCCAATGCGGCAAAACGAGTGCGCGGAAGAACCGCGGAGGAGACGTGCACGCGTGACCTAGTGCCCCAGAGCCGCTGCACGAGCAGCTGCAGCGGGCGGCGCGCTGGCTGCAGCACGCTTGCCCTTAGCTTTTGGTACTCACCGTTTCCGTTTATTAGGGGGTAGTCGTCGTCGTGTCGGCCAATATAGGTCTTGAGCGGGGTGTCCGTAAGGGAGGGCGACGACCTGTCCCTGTCACTCATACTAGTCACTTAACACGATACGCGATCGACGACGAGACGGACGGGGAGACGCGGGCCCCGTGCAACTCCACGAGCGACCTACGGCCCGCGGCACGCGCGGCGAATAAATAATCGGACACAACAGCGCCGACCGCTCAGCGCCTTCGGTGGAAGGCACTCGTGACGCGATGTGACGTCGACGCCCTCCCTCCGCGGGCCTCCGCACCTCGTCGCTCCCTCCTACAGTGTACCGCTTGCGACCTCTCAACCTCCATCAACTCTGTCTCCGTCGCTAGATGGCGCTGACTGCAAAACATACCTAACACTAAAACTGAGTTATTTATAATATTTTTTACTATGTAGGGATGAAGTAACAAACAAGAAGTATAATTTTGCAAATAGTGTAATAGTGACAACAATAATATAACAAATGTGGATAGAGTAATACATTGCGATTGATTGCTAATGAGAAAATTGTTCCAGGCGCTGTAAAGAGCTGGCTCCAAGGCGCGTTGGGGCAGTGTCGGAGCTGGAACACCAGCAGTGGACTCCACTCTCTCGGCTCGCTCTTTCCTACTCAGTACTAGTGATAGTTCACGTTCTGCCATACTCGTAGTGGTTGACACGACCGTCGTTTCTGAAAAATGTTTTTATTAGCCGATGTCTCTCCTTAAACCTACCTGTTATAATAAACTTTAGTGTACAGTAGTGTGTACACGTATTGTGTCACTAAATAAAATAAAATAAATTTCAATAAATAATTTATGTTTATTTCGTCCACTATACAAAGTATCTCATAAGTAGAACGCAGCTAATTAAAGTTAATTGACAATTAAAACGTAAATTAGAAGCGGGACTGAGAAGCGACACGTCAATGTAGTCGCAAACAAGTTCGTCCCAGTTATCTGTCAATTCGTGAATATTTTTTGCGTTGGATAAAAGTTTGTGCCGCATGAGGCGTTTGGCTCGCGCAATTCGATCCGGGGAATCGTCAGATATTTCTCTCGCCTGCATACGTTGAAGTTGTGAACCAGGCGGTTCCACCATCACCAAGGTCTGCATGCGATCGGTGACCTGCATCAGTACGGGCGGCTTCGTAGTTACGCTGCCGCTCATCGCCCCCTCTTTTTTCTTCGCCTTCTTCAGGATCGACAGTCTAGACTTTTCAGCGAGGGACAATTCTGACGTGTTCTTGTTTGAAACTGTACTTCCCGTTATGGATATTATGGGTTTTGATGTTGTAGTAGATTTAGTTGTTATAGTACTGCTGGGATATGTAGATTTCGACGATGAAGGGAGTTTTATAACTTCTAATGGTACATCTGGGACATTAGCTCGTCGATACCAACTCTCCGTGGGACGAGATGGTGGTAGCTGCGGCATTTCACTTGCTGGGCACACATAGAAGCAACGTTAACACTTTCTCACTTATAAAACACGACATAATAAATAATAAATTTGTTGAAGGATCAAATTAAATTTATCATAGAAAGAAATAAGAAAATTTGAAGAAATATCTTAAGTAATAAGAATTAACTTATACCTGTCGGTCGACTTCTAGAAGCTGACATGAGGGACTTTTTTATATCAAGAGCTCTTTTCATATCATAGTATTCTTCATAGCTTGGGTAGTTTTTGTCTCCAACCTTCACTGTGTCTGGATTAGGAATAAAGCTATCGTCAACGTGAGCCTTTCCAATTTGTTGCATATTCCTGTGTAATGATTCATCGTCATTTTCTGAAGAAAGGTCCCGGTCTACAGATAGAACACCGTCTTCATCAGGCATTCTAACCCATTCATCAGACCTTGCTCGTGCTTTTCGACGTCCAGATCTAGCCACAACTCTTCGACCAAGATTATTACTAACATCAGGATTCCTACTTTTAAACTTGCTAACCCTAAGAGACTGCATTCCGTCTTCCCACGATTGTATGTCGTTTTCACGATCTCTGTCAATGTTCAATTCAACATATCTTCGACGCCCGGATTTGGATTGTCTTTCATCGTCGATGTAAACTTTTTTTCTTTTAAATGATGGTTTATTTCGAATTGGCGCATGGCTAGACTTAGATTTTCGTTCGCTACCGTCTCGATTTGAATACTTATATAAATGTTGATTGTTATAATCATCCTCTACATCTATAGGTGCAATATTTTTCTTATTAGATTTCCACGCATCACTTTCATCGATCACAGATTCTGAGACTTTGTCTTCTTTGCCTGCAAGACAATATTTGTAAATTATACTTTGTAATATGGTGGTTGAAATTTATTGTTACTTAGGGCTAACCACTGGAACCCTCTTCGTATTTATAATCTAAAGAAACGGGAGCATCTGGTGATCTTTCTGGATACTCGTCACGCCCCGCGGAGTTCTGAGTATCATATTCCTCGTGGTAGTAGGGCATTCTTGCGCCGGAGTAGTCAGCATACCGCGCAGAGCGAACTGTGGCCGCCCACGCGACCACTATCACAAGGGCGTGAGTAACCATGCTCAACCAGACATACACGTTTAGTGTTTAATACTCTAATTACGGAAATAAACCGCTTGTTTTATATAAAATTTGTGACATAATTATGGTAAATAACTATAAATTTGACATTGAACCACAATCCAATAGGCATTCGTGTTTGTTTTTTAGTAGTAAGTCAATAGATCTTTTTTGCCAGTGCCGAAAAAGGTGGTCTAGCTAAATAATTTCTTACTTTCATTATTAGTATATGTCTTCGGAAAAAGCTTAATATAAAAATGAAAAACTATATTTTAGCTAATCTCACCATTACTTACAACACACAGCGGAGTTATCTTTAAGATTAATTACTTATTACTTTATTTTAATAAATCGTCGAGTGGATGCATCCTGACGTTGTCACTTAGATTTTTGTAATGGGCATATTATTAAATATTATTTTCGGTAACTATAACAATGTAAATATTTCCAGTTTTGTATAAAATTTTACCATGCAATAAACATCTTCGTTATGAGTGGGAGCAACAAAAATGAAAAAAAGGAGGAGGACTGTAGTTGCTACGCGGAGTCTCGCACAAAGAAGTCTTGCCCTCCTGTTCGAAACGTCACCCACCCCTTGGTACTATGATTCGTATACTGAACTTTTAACAATGTAAGGCTCGTTCTAATTTGGACAATATTTTAGCGTTACTACGAGTTTTCACCGGATGAGATCAAAGCCCTAGAAGAGTGTGACAAAGAGAGCTTCTATCAACGCTGCTTGCCCTTCAGTACACTTTTTGCTACCGTCACTTATGCTGCTATCAAATACGGTAAATATTAAAAATATAATCGGTAGGGACGCGACGAAAACTTCATAGAAGTAAGGGGTTCAAAGTTCCTTAAAACATTTCAAATTTTTTGTTATTTCTTTTCGTTGACGTTCCTGCCAATAACTTACTTCTGTGAATGTTTTCTTTTAGGGTTCCTGAGCCGTAACCCCCACTTTGGTGCGGTGCCTAAGGTACTGGTGGCAGCATTTATCGGACATATTTACGGTCGTCTCTCCTATATACCCGATTGTGAGGCGAAATTAAGGAGGTTGCCGACAAACAGTCATCTTGGAAACATTATGAGGAAGTATTATTTGGACCACAATCCCCCCCACCAGATCCTAAAAAGAGACCTTTATAGACGTGCTTTAGATAAAAGGGCCATTGTGTTGGTTTTACAAATACAATCTACCGTCCGTTTGTGACTAACGAGATTTGACTTCAATTTAGAAATATGACTAATAAAACATATTATAATGTATTATTTATTTAAAGAAGAAAAGTGGTATATTAACTTAGAGTAAATAGGTAAAAGTTAAAATTAGTAGAACAATGTAAAGAGCAAAAAACTGCTCATTTTTAAATCTTTTATTGTTTTATATTTTAGAATAAAATGTCTGTACGTTTCACATTAAGTTGAAATAAATGCATTATTGAATGTATTGTAAACTTGTTTATCTGTATGTTGTACCTTGATTTATAATCTATGAATGTCAAATTGAAGCCTCAAGTGACAATTTGAGCTGTCACTTTGACAGATATGAGGTCACAGGACGTAGTACGGTCGGATATCTTTATTCTGTAAACTGTAAAGTTCATTGACTTACCGCTAATAAAAGTGGAAGTGAATTTGACGGAAATAATTATTTTGCTTAATATGCAAAAGTTAGAAATTTAATGTAATGAATGAGTCTAGTATACATGGATACGAAAGCAGCGGTCAGACGTCTCCGGGGCTGGCTGGCCAAGCACCCGCGGTAAGGTTAGGTCTGTTTTGTATTTTTTTTATGAAAATAGCTTGGTGTAACCTTGTAGTTTTTAGGCGCCGCACAAATTCTCTCCGGAGGAATTGCGTGTTCTCCAAGAGTGCAACAATGAGAGTTTCTTCCAGCGCTCGTTACCTCTAGGCACACTTTTCGGCTTGGGCACATTACTCGGTGTGCAACAAGGTACTGTTAAATAATATTTAATAATTATAGTTTTTTAATAATCGTAAAGCTTTTTAAGGTTTCAAAAATTAGGAGCGTAACGGTATATTTTTATTATAGGTCACTTCAAACCAAATCCTCGGTTCGGGGCATTTCCAAAGGTGACCTTAGCAGTGATTGTGGGGTATTTCCTGGGCAAGCTGTCGTACCAGCAAGCATGTGCAGAGAAGCTTATGGCGCTCCCGGGCAGCTACATTGGGCAACTCCTCAGAGAAAGAAAGGAAGGCAAATTCAGGTTTATCTCTTATATTCTTCCTTCTAGAATTGTGTATTGTGTAATTCCTAATCTCGTAAATTGTAATTTTGACTTCATTTTGACTTATTGTTGGTCCTACTGTTTATTAACACAAAGGGACTTGCTTTGCTTTGAAAAAACTATATTACATAATAAAAATGTTTCCTAGTTGATACTTGCATACATTTTGTAAATGTTGATTTACTTGCTTTTTATATCATTGTCATCCTGAAACTGCATACCTCAATCTTTTCTAGATAAGTGTAATTATGAAGATCATATAAACCTATTTAAAAATCGAAAATAAATTGAAAACTTTTTTGATTCGGACAGGACTTGAACAGGCATCGTCAGCGTTCCGTTTATTTTCGATTTTTAAATTATATTGTGCCTTCATGTGCAATAACATGTAAAAAAAAAAATAAAGTTTAAACTTTTTTTTAATGGTGTAAACCTTTGCATTTGCTAAGTGCGAATACAAATATAATGTTGTTTTTTTTCTTAAAATGTTTATATTGTGTATGCTTGTCGAATTTTTTAATGATAAATATTTATCTGTGAACATATTGATTTATGTTATCTTGAAACATTGGAAAGAAAGTGCCCTGCCTACTAAGTACTTTATTAAGGCTTTGACAGCCCAAAGCTGCTTCCACTATAACAACAAGTTTTTTAGGCCATAGTTCTCTAGCCCATTTGAGCATTGGATTGGATTCCAACTGTCAATTTTGAGAAACAAAGAGTAGGGCTCTCACAGTTTACTCGACGAAGGGAACTAGATAGACTAATAATGTTTATTTTTTTCAGTTCAACTCGCGCTCCCGCCCCACCCACAATGTTTGGCGCGTCTCCAGGCGACATCTACTCTGACGCGGGCCCTGGGAACTCCCTTGACCTCGATACAGATAGGCCACTATTTACTGAAGACACTTATAACTCTAACTCTGACTACAGTAAGTAATTGTATTATGAGCTATTTTGTTTTAGCGAGCTACAAGTAAGATTTGCCTGATTCTAATATACTAGCAGACAATTCTTCGTCATTTATTAACAAGGATTACTGCGCCACTGTGCCTGTAAAACCGAAAGCTTGTATTAAATTAAAATATAAATTAAATTTGTATTTACTTCTTGATATTGTTTCATAGATTAAGTTTAAATTGTTAATTTTTTTGTTTCTGAATATCGTATGTCTATTCTATTTTATTCTAAAATAAAAAGTAAAACTTTCACGTCTGTAAACTCTTAGTCTACCTGATTTATTACTAGGCTTATAATTTTTTTGAACAGGTAAGCCGTTAGAGCCTGAGCTGTCACCAGCAAGACCAGTCCTATCGTATGACGAGCTGCGCCGGCGCAACCGCGGCGAGTACAATGATGCAAGACAGGACCCATACAAGTACCTTTATTTTAATTAATTATTATTTTTTCTATCGGAGCCATCTGTATTTGGTGATACAACTGACTCTGAAATTGCAATTTCTTCATCTTTCGGGGAGGCAAACCCCGGAACTCCACACATTGTGTACTTAGAAAAAAAAAAATGGTTTGTGGGTACTTCAAGAAATATTATAATACTTATTTTAATTTCATTAAATTCAGATTGGACCCCAATACTACACCAATAGTGACCCGGCCCAGGCCCCAGCCATCATCGCCGTCGGTGAACACTAATAAGTACGGAGACGAAATGGAATAGCCCAGACTGTACAAGAACTGTTAATTAGATTAGGTGCTTAAGAACAACACAACAGCAATAACTTTTGAGCTTGTTTATGTTGAATAAAAGATTTTTCTGATTGGTTGAATTTTTTTGTATAAAAAACAACACAGACAACAAATTTATAATAGCTGTAAACAGGCTAGACGAATCACACGTTATATATGAGGCCGCTAGAGGCAGAGTAGCCTATATTTTCAGTCTAAAAATGTTAATCTACAAAACTGGCTGAAAATTGTTAAACTAATTATTACACAAATAATAGTACAAATTAATTTTCGCTAAGTTGATTGGGCATATTTATTTTCCCCTTATTGAAAGTCATGTCTTTTGTTATTAGGCCACTGTGCCTCTAGTAGCCTCATATAATGTGGCTAGAAAGGTTCAAAGTATATTTACAAATTTTCACTATAACCTGTCGAGTAGTTTGGGCGCAGGAAATTCATTTTGAAACAAGAAAATCTTCTGATTCTACTTACACTTGGCTGAATGACATACATTGGCAATTGCGAAGTGCGTGTTGTCACTTACTAGTTTCAAAAACTTCAAAGGTTGTAAGGTTAAACATTTTGTAGCGCTTATTTACTTCGTATGAAAAATCCAAAATAAATTGAAAAAACTTTCGACTCGGGTAAAACTTAAACCGGCATCGCCAGCGTTCCGGCCTGTTGCTCTACCGAGTCATGCCCGACATCTGTTTGTAGTTTACGCGAGTAGTACACATTTAAGTCTCCCCGTGACCACGGCTACTGCAAAGCATCCGAAACGTCGGGCCGAAGTTAAAAATCATTTTCAAATAAGTTTAACTAATATATCGCGTTTTAAACCGTTAAAGTGTTTTTGTTTAGACTTAACACATTGTTAAAGGATTTCGTAAGTAAAGAAAGGGTATAGAAAAATACTTTATTATATTCACAATAAACAATAACAATGCAGCAATGTGAAATACAGATTTCTACCTTTTCACTTCATATCCAGCTCCGGAAGACGGGAAAAAGAATAGTATATACATATATGTAGTAAGTAGTTAGTAAAAACCATTTCACAATAAAATAGTTATACAGCTAGCGTAGCTTATACGCCCTAGAATCTTTTTTTTATAATAAAGGAGGATCTTTTGTAGCCGCGAGCCCTATTAAATTTGTACTAAAATACTTAATTTTCATAAAGGGTTTCAATTATAAGTATTCGCAACGGATCTCTAGCGCTGAATGAATCCTGCGCAGAAGTATAAAATAAGGTACCGAAGGGACGGAAGCGGGCGCGGGGTGATTGAACGTCATTTGCGCTAGCGTTGATTGGTTCCCGAGTCGTGTTGTCTCTCTCGGGCAAATACGACGCTCCGCTTGCTTCTCGAGTACAGTCACGCTTTCCAATCAATTACGTGCGCGGTTGTACAGATGCGCAACTATCCCCTTTACACTTCGTTCAGCGCTAAACATCCGTGCCGCGACCTATAACCATGGCAAACCACACGACAAGGACAGGCAAGCGAAAGGTTAACTCGGGCAAAAAGGTAACATCTACACCATATGCGCTGTTAAAGTATTTTGGCTAAGTATATTCTGAAATCCACAGACTGACACTCGATTAAACTTTACAGCTTTTCCATTCGTGGAGGCTAGTTAGGGACCCGGACGGAAATTCAATATTTCCTACCACCCCAACCTCCAACATGTTTCAGAAAAATTATAAATACTTTTAAAACATGTTAGACCCGGTGGGGATGTAAACCACGAGCCGCTACTACACATTGCTACTATTAGATTAACAAGTCCTTGAAAAAAATTACAACTATACCACAGTATGTATGAATGAATATATATGTATATACACAGGAAGGGAGTACCTCCAATATTGATATAAATATAAAAACGTATTTTCGTTCCCGTCTTGACTGGGGCTCAAATACAAACATTTTGGATACACCATTAATTCAAAACTAATAACAGTATGTACTGGAACTTATCGCTTAGATTTTAATTGTACATTTTCTACCCTCAATTGCGCAATTCCGATAAAATATAACAATTAAAACAGTCCAATAAAATGTCGATAAAAACAAAAGCGTTAGCGGAACACAATTAAATTCTCAATAAATATAAAACAATAACACAATGGTCATACAATATTTACGCTCAACTCTAACCTAATAAGCTAAATACATATGTACATAAAATAGTGTAGCTGCATTATGTACATGGGTAAACCTTACACATAATAAATTAAGATACAGCACTAAATACAGTACCAGTGAGAGGCAAATATACATATGTACATAACTATACAATATACATAATACTAGAGACAACTGGGTAACCTATTTACAAAGTATTACATTGTAATAACACAATATGTGCATTCAGCTATGTGTTTTATAATGTACCAAAAATAATTTATTCAACAATACATCGAGGCTATTGTCTATATTTTACAATTACAACTAACAACAGTACCTAGCAATAAATGTTGAACCTTTGAAACAATTTAAATAAAAAACTTAAACAATATAACGCGCTTTTTACTTTGACGTCAGAGACACCCTCCATCTCTAGACTCCACGTGACAACGGCTGCTGCAAAGCATCGGAAACGTCGGGCCGAAGTTAAAATAATTTTGAAATAAGTTTAATAGATATCGCGTTTTAAACCGTTAAAGTGTTTTATTTAAATGTGTACTACTCCCATAAACTACATGCAGTTAGTTACATTGTTTCCCCACTACTGTGAGGTTAATTCTAAAAGCGATGGAACACATCCTATATACTTGCGTAAATGTTCGTGAAGGCTAGGTACTGTCCTCGAAAGTACTACCAAAACAATTACTAATTAATGCAATATAATTAAAATCACAGCTCAAAGTCATACCCTAACGAGAAAGTAACGAATAACGGTAACACAGGATGGTTTGAGTGTCAACGTCAATCATTGTAACTAAACTTTGTACTAAATAATATATAATTTAGACGTAATCACGAACTACGAAAAGAATTAGACGTTTTGAATTAAAACACGCAAATTTGTCTACACTCAAACCGTTGACAATACAACATATAAAATAATTGACTTTATTTAAAATATAAATAATTCATTATCGTATTCAAACATTAAATTTCTCTATTTGATTGAGACAAAAGTGACCTATTTGAGAAAATTCCGGTTTAAATCGGATTTAGGCCGTTTTTAGTACTGCACAGCTGACATTTACATATTACGATCGATCTGCGTATTGTAAGTTACGTATTTTCTAGAAATATGATTTCAGTGATTCGTCTACACGGGACGTATGTTTTTTTAGATTTTAGAACCCCAACCGATACTATCGTAAAAATGAAATTGCGGGGCACTGATGATTTGGCCATAATATTGGCAAAAAAAAAAAAGAATAGATGGATGGAGAAAATTCCTACTCAAACTATTAGTAATATAAAATATTTACAGTATTGAAATTTTTATAAAAATAAGTTACAAAATTTGAGCATTGTGTCGAACGTAAGATAGTATGTAAGCGTTATTGCTTATTCGATGCGCAATTGTTAGTTCATAAAACATACTTTGCTTCAACGTTTGCGCAAGTGTTTTATATTGTCTTAATAGTGTATTTAGCTTGCCAATTTTCTCTAGAAATTTATAAAAGTATAATTTGGTATTGACGAGCTTAAATTTTAAATTATACAAATTTTGTTACAAAACGGGTATACCGTTAAATTTATTTAGTCGAAGGATGTTTCTGCGTTTGTAGTAATGTCGTTAGATTTTCCATAAAGCTAAAACTATTTACTATTGTTACCAAAATCAGTTGAAATAAAATATTGTACATATACTTCACGCAGTGCCATATATTTAAATAAAACACTTTTAACAGTTTAAGTTAGTTTTTAACGCGAAATATATTAGTTAACTTATTTTAACTAACACCCGACGCTTTGACACGCCTATTTTGCGTTCGAAATCGTTAAAAGTGTTTAATTTCAGTGTACTACTCGAATGTTTACAGATACTACACAATATGTCGATAGTTTACCAGCTCGTCTGATGCTATAGGCTCCCATGTAACTCCGTGAAATACAAAAAATAAATCTAGTAAGTTTCCTCATCAGACAGATACTATTATCTGTCTGATGACAAACATCAGACATTACACTTAATACGTTACTGTTGGTTCTGTTAAAATCCATACGTTGAGCCGAGGCACTGTCATATTAATTTGATTCGCAAGAGATACCTTAGTACAATTTCAAGGTAAAGGCCACGGTAAGCCGGAGAAGTTAACTGGTCCACCAAGTCCAGCATCAGCTTCCAGAAGGCTCATAATAACTGCCATAGCTGCCTCTCCGTTGCCATCGATGGGTAGGGGCGGCGAGGGTGGCGGCGGGGTGGTTGAGAGCTCCGCGGAGGGGGGCGGTGAGGCATGCGCGCCGGCAGCACTTAGCGGCACGTTGTTGCGTACCTGTGCGTACGCGCTGGCCTCAGCACACAAAAGGTTGTCTACCAATGATGGCTGGAATTCAAATACCCTTGATTAAAGCTTACGATATGATATTTGAAATATCTCTGTAAAGATAAGCTAAAACTGTAGATTAAGTAATTAAAAGATACAAGAGGACAACACAAGTTGCAAATAATGTCTAATGTATCTCGGGAGGTCGCTACAATAAGTGTTTAAAAGATATTATTATGAGTATATTATATTCGTTATTTTAAGTAAAAAAGACTAACAAAATGTAACTAACATTACGCTGAAGAGTTTAAAAAAAATATATATATTTGTATTGGTTAGAGCATTTATCGAGAATGGCTTTAGGCTTCCAAACTCGCGTTAACAAACCACAATTACAATCTTTATCATTTTGTAAAACTCAGATCAAAGTGTTTTTTTTACTATAATTGTCTGAAGTTGTGTTGCAATAGCGTATTTACAGTAATACAGTAATACTTGATTTAGATATAAAAAAAGAGTTCAAGCCAAACGAATTATTGCTGTATTTTATGTTAATAAAACACTTTTAACGGTTAAAAACGTAAAATGCACGCATGCAATGTACGTAAAAGTAGCTGATTTAGTAGCTTCCCTGTGACCATGGCTGCCGCAAAGTATCCTACACCGTTTATTTATTTAAATGTGTACTATTACACTAACTAAAGACAATATTTAATATTTTTATGTTTTGTAAAGGTATTTCTTATATATCCTAATGATCATTGTGTAAATTGTTCCTTCTGTTGTATATATTACTGTTTTAACTTTCCCTTCTTAAGGTCACTTCAGTGCTTAGGACTGAAGTGAACTAAATAATGTACGAATGAACAGTGATTTGAAAAAGAATTTAAGTTTTTAAAGGCAGTCACTCATTGTTAAGTGTTTATCCAAGTTCATAAAAGTTTAGTAATAATATAAAAATAAAGGTGAACTCAGAGAACTAGAGCTTAATTTAGATTGTGCTGTTGACTTTTATTTGCAATTAGTCATTAAAGTCTATACGCTGAAACCTTTCGTGATTTTATACTTAGATTTCCCATCTATAGACAGACAAATTCACTTTCTTTTGTTACTAAAAACAAAGAGAAGTAATCTTCTTATTCTTAATTTAAATAAAACTATATAATACAGAAATAGATTGTCTGTGCATTTAAAAATGAAATAAAAAACACTGAGTCGAGAGTAATAGAATAAATAAACCAATTAGTTTCCCGTCCATGTCCATGTTTTTTTTATGAAATCTTGAATTATTAATAGAGTAATAATGGTGCTGAGATGATTTTTACTTTAAATCTTTACAAATTAGATTTTTAATAACGGTTTAAAACGCGAATTATATTCTTCAAATGTATACTAATTTACTTCAAACGACGTTTCAGACGTTAGACCAGATATATTTTTAATCTTCAATTACATATAACTAACAAACACCCACATTCTTTACGCGGATAAATTGAGGAACAAAAATGAGTGATATAATAATATAAAGATTGTCAATTTTGTATGTATGTATTGGTAAAATCGATGTACGGGAAACATTTATCGCAGTATGGTAAGTCATGTCAAACATGAGTGAATTGTATGAGTATGAGAAGCCATATTGTCTAAGGTACAAAGAAAATCCATGAATTGTTAGGAGTGCGTTTATTATAGATATGAGACACGTAGTATGAAATGATGTTCGACGCTGGTGCGGTGTGGAGTGGTGAATTTGCGTGTCTGTTGGTACGCGCTGTGGTGAGGCTGAGCGCCTACCAAGGGTACTGTTGGAAACCATAATCCACCGTCAAATATTTGCATTACTCCACACGTTTATGAGACCCTGGTACGAGGGAATCCTGATCGACCCAGATGTTATTGGCTCAGTAAAGATCAAGTATTGTCTGTAGTTTACGCGAGTAGTCGAATTTAAACAAAACACTGTTAACGGATTAAAACGCGAAATATATTAAATTAATTGACTACGTTCCGGATGCTTTGTAGCAAACGTGGTCAAGGGGGCGCTGAAGATGGAGGGTGTACCTAATATCAGGAGTCTGTAAGGAGCCAGCTAGTTTCTCCAATTACCAACTACGATGAAACAGACGGCGCTAGCGTAGCAGGTTTGACATTAGGGGTACCGGTCACTTTAGTCCCCCCGAGACCACGACTGCTGCCAAGCAACCGAAACGTCGTGCCCCACTTAAATTTTTAAATAAGTTAACTAATATATTTCGCGCTCTAAACCGTAAACAATTGTAAAGACAAGTTTTTGAAAGGGCAAAGCCGGTAATAATGTTAGCGCAATACGTTTTTGTTAAACACTACAATTATAAGTAGATCTGATTTATTTTTATGCATTATTCATATTCACATTTAAGTCACAAGATTTTTTATGTAGTACGCTTAACTTGCTAGATCAGAAATAATGTAAAAATCGAAAATAAATTGAAAAAAAATTCGACTGGGGCTGGACTTGAACCGGCATCGTCGGCATTCCGTACTGTTGCTCTAACTAATTGAGCTACAGAGTCCTACACCTGATCGTCGAATTATTTCAACTTATTGATACATGCAGATCGCGCGCAATGTAATTTAAACCTTAATACTTGTAGTTTAAGGTTCAAATCAGAAATAGTAAGCCCGGTTAACAGTTACCGGTTTCCGAAGTGAAAATACTGACCTGCTGATTGAAGAGGGCGTCTTGGAGTAAATCAGCTGGAAGTTCTGGCGAGAAGTCAGCGGAGGAACGCCTCAAAGCCTCCTCAGCGATGGTTGACCCGACTTTGTGGCATTCAAGCTGCGAGTCTATCAGACGCTGCATCTCGACATCCGCTTCCGCCTCTACTTCCGGTTCCGCTAGTACAGAATCATCAGCTATACAATATGTCTCTAATAAACTAATCATTCATTTCATGTTGTCCTTAGGCGATGTCGGGTATCGAGGTATCTTTTATTTGTGTAAAACCCAGCGATTTGAAGGCACAAATTTTTCAAAGATTTGTAATACGAGTTTAAAGCATTCTTAACGGTTTGAAATGTAAATTGTATATTAGGTCACTTATTTTAGATAATTGGCTCCCTATGATCACAGCTGCTGTAAAGCATTTATTTATTTTTAATATATAATCTGTTTTGAGACGTTTTAAAAATGTTTTTGGACATACCTAACAGATGGCCTAACTAGTCATTTGAAACATTCTATGTCTGGTTGAGTGATGTATAAGTTTTACAACTCTAAATATTTTTATCACCACCAAACGTCCCCACCAAAATGTCCCCAGTGTTCACCCCATGCCCCACGGGGGAAACGGGATTTTACACATATATACCTTCGTTGAGCTTTACAAAGTTAACGTTTTGTGTCGCAGTGTTAGTTTACCTGAATGGGACGGCAACCCACATTGATTGGAGTTCTTGTATGATTGACCGTCGAACCCGGTCTCAGCTGATTGCTGGGCATCAACAGACAGCACCGTGTTGTTGGCTACAAGACTCTCTACGTCCTTAGTCCATGGATTGCTAGAAGAATCGGCAGATAGATTAATGTAACAATTGTCTATTTTTATGGAAGGTAAATGACTATTAAGACAGTCAAAATTTCGTTAAACGTAAATTTAGGCGCGAAAAACTTGTATTTTGATTTTGCTTTATTTAAGCAACAAAACCAAGATTTTAATAATAATGACAAGTATTGTCTGTAGTTTACGCGAGTAGTACACATTTGAATATAACACTTTTAACGGTTTATAACGCGAAAGATATTCAATTATTTTTAATATAATTAGGGCCTGGCGTTTCAGATGTTTTGCAGCAGCCCTGGTGACGCGAAGAAGTATCTACGTGACGTATGTTTCGCGTTTCAAACCGTTAAAACATTTTATTTAATGTTTACTACTTCGTTATCACAAACTATACTTTGTTAAGTTCATACAAAATAACCTTATTTCTACCAGACTAGTGACATAATACACGTCGTTAACGTTTAAAGCAAATTAGAAAAATAATTGAATTTGTATCCCTGCCTTGGTAGGAGAATGTGGGAAAGAGACAACACTATTAATATTTCAACTAACCGAAATGGTTTGAAGTGCGTAAGCAGGCGAGCGTATACACCGTCTTTACGACGGAAGCAATACGGACCGGAGCGCGCAGGCGCACGTCGTAAGAGCGCGGACTTGTGAGCCCGAGCAACCACGCTGAGCTCCCCAGCGCCTACGTATTCATAAACGCTGCTACCGAGCAACTCTTGAGGCAGGAAGCCCAACGCCAGTGTCACTCTGGATATATACAAGATAACAAGTATTTACCATGCAAGTGTACATTAGTGGTATTAACATAGGTACAGTTCGGAAAACAAGTGTTCATCAATTTGCCTGGATTTATGATTTATATATCGTATGATATTATATATAAATCATATATATATCAAGCAAGTGTATCAAACAATATAGAATTATCTACACACATCTCAATTTTATTTAGATTTTGGTCCTTCGAGCCGGATAATTCATACTACTGTTACTTTATCATGTAATGGATTTTAATTTATGATGAGCACTTGTGTTGACAAATGTTTAGAATCTGACAGATGTCGTCAAAAAGGAATAAATCAAAATGTTATAATTTCCTTCAAAATCCTTTTCTGGGAGGGGAAGACAAGCACATGTTGTGTTTCATTTGATGTAGGTTGAAATATTTCAGCCAAATAACATTTTATAATATATACGCTGTTAATCGATTTTGGCTTTAGATATTTGGAAATCCACAGACTGCGAGTGACACTTTAATATTCCTACCACGCATTTAATATCCAGATTTCCAAACAAAGTCTAACATATTGAATTCTTTTAAATTGATGATTGAAACAAGGTGGCCCTGGCAAGGATCGAATCCACGAAGTGTTGATTATTAGCCAGCCGAATCGTATTTAATAAGTACCTCTGATCGACAAATAGGAATTTTCCGTCTGGTGCATGTCTCGAGATGAACTGCAGTTGGCGGATGGGTGGAGGGGCAATGGGGGCAGGCGCAGCAGAGGTAGAGGTGGAGGGGGCAGGAGGGGCAGGGGGGCGGGTACAACAGCTCTGGCATCGCTCGGCCCACAGCCACCAAGCAGGATAGGTTACAAGCTTCCTCCTCAGCACTACACTCGCTGGTACTCCCAGTTTCGGACATTTCGGCTGGTGCCCACGACTTGAGATAGCCTGCAATGGGTATAACGACTAATGATCAATCTATGTGTATGTGTTTGTGAATACTGTTACTTACTTGTATGAATAATAAATAGACATTGGTTCTCTTTAATTTGTGAAAGAACTTATGTACATTGTTATGTGAAATCTTAATAGAATTGTGTATCGACATTTTTAATGTTTTTGTCCTTGTTGGCATATTGCTTACATAAATTAAAAATAGATTTGAAAACATGCGACATTGGGCAGAATTTTAATCTGAATAGTATTATTTTAATTTACATAATAGCATAATGTATAACATGTAAAAGTGTATTCCCGTTAACCTCTGGGACCCCCATGGGGCGAACACATTTGTATGTGTTACACTGATAGGTTCTTTTACAAGCAAGTAGGTCATCAGACTCCTGTGCACTGCTCGACCGAAATAATGTATAGTTTCTGTACGCCTGTAGTTGATGCGTTGAAACTGGTTTCGATTCTCAGGGATACTTATACAATATTTCGGTCGGGCAGTGCACGGACGTCTAAACAAAAATTTACCTGTATATTTTTGACTGACCTGTACACTGGACAACGCAGTACTTCTTATCGCTGCCCTTGGATCGATGTTTCCGGTCCTCTTCCTTGACATCGGGCCGTTGCGTGGGGGGCAACGCGAGCGACCGGCACTTGATGCGGCAAGAGAATGAGCGCCGAGCACCGGGGCACAGCCTCGAAGCGCCGCTCACCACATCAGCCTTCACTGGCAACATCGCTGCACATACAGCAACACATCAGACTAGACCGCGTTGAGATTTTGAACAATCGGGCCACATATAGGGCTTCACCGAAATCAAAAACAGACGAAAGTTTTATGTCCTTTGTAAAAAATCCCTCCGTATCAAAATTCTAGGCTAGATGAATGCCCATTTCAGAAAGCTTTTATTCATAGAATAACGCAATAGGCAATAAACAGTTTTTGAATTTAAAATAATTTTGAATCTATTTAGTTTTTTTTTACGTCACGAGCGGGGCTTGAACCGGTATCTACAGCTTACTATTTTTTTTATTTATTTATATAAAGCTATCATGTGCAATAACATGTGAAAAATATAGAAGATTTTTTGAACACATTTAAATATGTAATCTACTAAATATAACAAAACATGAATTAATACTTTTTTGATGTCCACATTTGTCTTTTTTTGTTCGGGCATTCCCCTCTCTTCAATATAGAATATAGAAATATAAATTTATCAAAATAAAATTTAATTTTATAAATGATTAGGTGCTACAGCTTAAATACAAAATAAAATGTTTTTAACCATCGCTGTTTAGTGCTTTTCACATCTGAATCTAGCATAAATAGTGACTTATGCATGTGATAGAAGGCCAACAACACACAGTTCGAAAATTTAAATTGTAAACTCGATTTGTTCTCATTTACGAAGAAATGTTGCGTACATTGTTTCACGGAGATCCTATGTAATTTTCTAATTATACACCACTTTTCGTGTATACTATATTCCTGTTTAAATAAAACACTTTTAACTGTTCAAAATGTAAAATATAATTAGTTAAAGTATATCGGGCCGTAGTTAAAATAAATTGAAAATAAGTTAAGCAATACAATTCACGTTTTAAACCGTTAACAGTGATTTAATAAATGTGTACTACTGGCGTAAATAACACACAATAATAAAAGTCTGTCTAAATAAAATTACGTATAATACATCCAAATTTCTCAATTTACGTAGATTTATTAACGTTTTGAACCATAATTTCAAGAAGTGAATATACGTTCAATCAGTACGTAATAATGTTCGAAACGATGTATGTAGCCACAAAAGCGTATAAGCGAATATGCTTTGCAGCATTTTCAAATAAATTTAACTAATATATCGCGTTTTAAACCGTTAAAGTGTTTTATTTAAATGTGCACTACTCGCGTAAACTATAGACAGTATTTAATAGATAATTGTTATTTGAACGAGGTTAAGATTTCGTTAGCATTTGTAAATATCACCTCTACAGCAGTTTAGTACTAACTCTTTGCGTCGATGAGCCTCTCTCGCGGACTCAGGTCAGACGAAGAAAGCTGTTCCTTCACCTTGGACACGTCTTTAGGATGGAGGATGTCGAACAGACTCTGGCCTAGCAGCTCTGACTGAAAGCCATCGGGAATGATGTTAAAATGGAATGGAAAGCCCCACTTATGTCTGATTTCTAGAACTGTCGGAAATATCTAATCGTAGTAGTAAAGTAATTATCCGGCTCCGATATGTTTTTTAATTATATCTTGTTTTTTTGAGACATGCGTCACTTCGTCCGGAAATTTGGATGTTAAATGGGCGGAGGAATATCTAAAATTCCGTCCGGGTCACCGCCGTCCTCAGATGAAAAAGTCGTAATCATATAAATAAAACACTTTGACGGTTTAAAACGCGATATATTAGTTAAACTTATTTTTGTCTCCCCGGGCCGAAGTGAAAAATCATTTTCTAATAAGTTTAACTAATATATCGCGTTTTAAACCGTTAAAGTGTTTTATTTAATCGCGTTTTGGTTTCAGTCTGTGTATATCCGACTATAATAAGACGAAATATATATATGGCTGGGGTTGGGGCATGTTATCTACGATCAAGTAAAGTGTATGATCCTCCTGTATCATAAAAATAATGTACATTTTCTCAACTAAACAGACAACAAAGGAAGCCGCTGCACAAAAAATGCTATTAAGAAATCAATGTTAAGAATAATAAGAATTTTCGAACCTGATCATAATGCAGCATTCTAGTGACACTAGCGGATACGTAGAGCAGCCGCCCGCGGTCGCAACCGACAACCATGAGGAAGCAATCCGTAGCGGCGCGTAGAACTAGCGCGTTGAGCTCCCGTTCGGAGAGGAAAGCGGGGCGTGGTCGGACTGTTAGCGGGCCGGCGGACAGTGCGCCGCGTACGGAACGAAGGTGTTGCACGGCTAGGCGCAACACAGTCAGCTTATCCAGCTTTCGTGCCATGGCCCCGCACATGGGCACCATCGCGCTCAATTCGGAGATGTACGTGTTCATCTTGTCGCGACGACGCTTCTCTATCTCGCTGTGGTTCTGTCTGAGAGCCGTTAGTTTTAAATTGTGAACCATTTTTCCATTATGAACCTTTTTAAACGTAGTCAATACTAAAAATCTATCCGATGTGTTATTGTTTTAGTACCAATCTTCGCCTTATAATCTTTTAAACTTCACTCTTGTACTATACCCGTGCCAGTTAGAAAATGAGCGCTGCTAAGTGTGACAGGCATTCAGCAGTACAGCCAAGACTGGTACCGATTCCTATTTCTCATCTTACATAGATGTATTAGTATTCTTTATGTAATATTCTATTATGAAATGTAGTTGTTATAAGTATATTGTAAAAACTGTGTTAAAAGGACAAGGAAAAAGTTTTGAATTTGAATCTGTTAAGTGTAATAGAGTTTACGTTGCGCTCTTCAACAAAACAATAATTATACAAAATAAAAAATAAAAGCAAGCGTGCGGGTTATCATAAAGAATTATTTTGTACGAAGATCGAGCAAACAGCAAAATGTGGCACCTTGAGCTATGAAGAGTGAGCTCTAACATCGTTTTTGAAGACCAGCATTCAATCATTCGCAATCAGGCTTGTCAATAGTACATCGCATAAACTGGATAATTCGCATATAAAGGTAGTTATAGTTTAGCAAATCTGAATAGTTAACTTACTTCTTGTCGGGTAATGTTCGGGTGGATCTTGCGTCTTCAGTTGCATCGTCTTCATAGGTAATAGTTCCGGAACTGGAGAATTTAAGAAATTACAAATTACAGTACAGTAAATTTAGACATGATTTATTGCATGACGATTCTCTTGCTTTAAATTAATAAATATATGACATTATACAACATTCTCATTTTCTTATTTGTGTATCTACTGCCTTACATAGTAAATATAGTTACACGTTGTATTGTATTCAGCTAAGACTTAATACAAATAAGCAATTATATGAACTGCAACTTTATAAATCGTATATCAACACGCGTTTTACTAGCGTGATATATTACAATCTACGCAATTTCTTACAGCAGGGATGCACAGACCGCGGCCCGCCGCTGGAATACTAGTGGCTCGCCGACAGCAAAAATAATACACAAATGAATAAATTTCTTTTTAATTCTAATACATCATTATTCATTGTTTATCATCTTTAATTACCTATACTTCTGGCGGCCCATCATCAGTTCATGATTTGCCCGAGTGGCTCTAAGTCTTAATAAGTCTGTTGCATCCCTGGCTTACAGGAATCGAGTCCCAGCAGTGGGAATTATCAAAGACATTATGGAATAATAAGCTTCCAAGATCACTAATAGACAGTTCAAGTTTAATTAAACGAACCTTCAGTATCAGTATTAGTCCCAAGAGAAACACTCTACTAATCTACGCGTTCCCTGAATATTAATATAATACAAGTAAGTGACTTGTGCAAATTTTGCCAGTAGGTACGTATTCGTCAGACAAGGACAAAAGTTATCGTTTCAAAAATAGAATCTGAGAAATGGAAAATTAAGCAAAACGGGAAATTTTAGACCCTTCTAAAGTTTTTACTAGTTAATGTAAATGTGTAAAATGCATAATAACGGTCTTGAGCAATCGAATAAATTAGGTGAACAATGCCCATAATAATCATAGGCAAAGGAATAAATAATAATCATAAAAAAAATTGACCATAGTAATTAAAGAATAAACAATTATAAATTGGAATACAAGTAGGGAATATACTCAAGCTACCTCGAACACAGACATGGACCATGATAAATGGGCGTTATTTATAATGACCAGTCCATATTAATAAAATGAGTTTGACTCGCATGTAAAACAAAAACTGTTTGATAAGGATTATGATGACGTTAATCAACATTGAAGCGACAAAAATGCTCGCGGTTTGGAGGAACCTGGTCTAACAAGAAAAAAGATTAACCAGTTCTTCTCGTTCGTTCTACGCCCTTGATTTGAGAACTGGTAGTAAGTAAGTCGTGAACGTGAAAGTAAGTCTTTAGTCTGGTCTGACGTTCATAAGTGTAACTAGTTACCCACGTAAATGATTTTTGAGATTGATAATAAAAAAGCCCTTACTAGGACGAGGGTTTCCTCTTCCGGGTGGCGCTAGCGGGCTGTTCCATGTGGATGGGAGCGGCTGAGGTTGTGGTGTGGGGCACTTCACAGGCAGACATCTCGTAACCCTCAGTGCTGGAAAAACGAGGCATAGGTAAGTAAGAAAGCAGATGAATTAAAGATCGAAAATAAATTGAAAAAAAATTCGACTCGGGCAGGACTTGAACCTGCATCGTCAGCGTTCCGTACTGTTGCTCTACAAATTGAGCTACCGAGTCCTACACCTCATCGTCGATTTTTTCAACTTATTGATACATATGCACCTCTCGCGCAATGTAATTTCAAACTTAACACCTGCGTATTAAGGTTCAATGTCTTATGCTTTGCAGCTTAAGGAATCATTGAAGATGAAATTACAAAGTTATAACGTTTGAAAACATTAATATTTTTGACATGTTATTGCACATGAAGGCACTATATAATAAAAAAAAAATCAATTTATTTTCGATCTTTAAATTATATAGTGCCTTCATGTGCAATAACATGTGAAAAATATTAATGTTTTCAAGAAAGCAGATAGTCACCGACATTCGCCAGAATTACGTCTAGCTGTTCCCAGGGCGATATTAGTGGTTCTGGTCAGATACTGTCTCCAAGGAGGTTTTAGTACGAATTACCACACTACTCCACGTCAGTATTACCCGACGTTGGCGTGAATTAAGCATTCACACCATCAGTAAAAAATTGCATAGGCCTACGTCTAGCAGCATCATTCGAACAGTAAGCTGTTCTATTGATTTATTTGGCTTCAGCTGTTTTAATTATTAACATAGATAAGTTATCAAGAACAAGTTTTTGAAGCTCAGGTCTAAAGGTAACAATGTGTGCCTAATAATGAACGGGTCCCATCGGGTCCCACAATTTTTCTTATCAATTTATATTTTTCTGCAACATGTCTCACAATCTGGATGATAAATCGATTCGAACCGATTGGACTCGAGTTGGACTCGGTCATGATCGAACACACGGCCCGTTGTAGCCATACATTGCTACCAAAACACCAACGAGCCAGTCAAATGTTAGTTACCTTATAATTGTTTAAAGAACAAGTATATTATATATTTGAACTAATATACTTTTAATAGTTCTAGTTTTAAATCTTACTCGTTCGTACCTACTCGTGGCAAACAACATAGGCAATGCAACGCTTACTGCATTTAGCTGGCAACGTAATATGAATCATTTCAATACAATGTTTACTCCACAATAGGTAACTAAAACAATAGTTGTTATTATAGATCTCGCGTTTTAAAACACCTTGAGTGGGTCACATTTAAGTTTCGTTTAATACCAATGCTTCAGATAGTCTATTTATGCAATTTATTTAAAAAAAAGAACTATTATCATCATTGCTTACACTGTTCAAAACCGCACAATATTGTCGTGGATTCGAATCTTGTTTGCGTCATACATTTTGCCAATTAAATATTATGTCCATCATTTATACGCTGTATTAAATATTACAAGGGTTCAAAAATCGGGGAATAACAGAGTCAACTCGCGTTACTACGTGGCACGAACACATTTCTGTGTCTGTGACACTGATCGAATCTTAAACAGGCAAGTGATTAGAGTCCTGTGCTCTGCCCGACGTAAACAATCCATTTTTTCCCTGGATTCGAACCCAAGGAGCATAGGCTAGATAGTGAGATTGAGTATACGTACAAATGCGGACCTTTCCTCTTGCGCTGCTCGTGGGGCAGCGCGTGCGGCTCATGCGGCAGCATCCCGCCAGCTCCGCCGCCCGCATCCCCTCCCCCCACCGCCCCCGCTGTCACCTCGTAGCCCGCCGCCGCGCCCGCCACGGAACCACTGCAAGAATACATTGTGTCAAACAACTGCGCCCAAAGAACGGTCGGTCGCTACTGTCTTTTATGTAAACGCGATACTTTGTATGCGCGTTTAGTGTCCTCTTGCAATACCTATATATATCACATTTAAGTAAATGTTCGAATAAAAATTATATTCCATATAGTTTGGTTTCGTAGACGAGAATTGCACCTTTTCGTCCTCGGCACAGAACAAAGTGTTTATAGTTGAACTACGGTGATGTCAAAGTGATGGTAACGCGTTACTGATGATAGTGAAAAATCCGACCGCAACGAAACATGCGCGAGAAAACAAGGAGATTTAACTACATAGAAAACAAAACCGAGAAGAAGTCACTTTCTTCTAAGTGAGAGGAAATCTGTGCATGCCCAGCCGTGGGATAGTAGGCATAGAGTAGTCTCTGACGGGGTCTAAGGCCAGTAGTACACGGACTGCTTCAAGCAGTTGGGACCCACTGCTTAAAGCCGCGACCGCTTCAAGCCGTCTCCTGCATGATGAAATTCCATCGTGCCATCAACCATCGTGCCTTTCTCTTTGGCGTCGCCGCCGTCTTCCTCGTCAGAATCCATGACTCGAGCGAGCAGTTGATTTTCTACCACAGCGAGCGAGCCTAGGTCACGGGAAGACAAAGCATGCGGCTGCTGCAAAGCATCCGAAACGTCGGGCCGAAGTTAAAAATCATTTTCAAATAAGCTTAACTAATATATCGCGTTTCAAACCGTTAAAGTGTTTTATTTAAATTACTTTTATTAGTTCTTGTGTTTTGTCTACATGGAATGGATATAGACGAGTGGGCGACCTTGACATTGGGCTACACAAGTCTTATCGCGTATCGAAATAGCTGATTAAGTCATTACTCGTTTCTAGGCAGAAGATTATGTCATTCCTATAATATCCATAATGGATCACTTACATGCTATTGCATGCATAATAATTTCTAGAAGAGCATGGAGGTGGTCTTCACTCTTTAAAGGAGATCTATGATGTTTGTACAAATAAAAATATATTATAATTAAAAAATATATAAATCTTTACTACTTAATATAAAACGCTGAAGAGTTTGTTTAAAAGCGCTTTTCTCAGGAGCTACTGGTTTGAATTAAAAAAATCTTTTTGTGTTGGTTAGAGCATTCAGCAGTGTTTATTACCATTGCCTGAAATATGGTCTCCTAACGCGAGCATGGTGCACCGTCGACCTACCTAGGCAAAATGGTTCCGAAGTGGAGACCACTTATCGGACCTCGAAAACCTGGACGACCACCTACCAGGTGGACCGATGACCTGGTCAAGGTAGCAGGGAAACGCTGGATTCAATTATCGAACGGCCGATCGTACTGGTCTATGTCTATGAGGGAGGCCTATGTCTAGTACTGGACACAGAATGGTAGAAACGAGAGCATTTATCGGGGAAGGCTTGAAGATCATCAGGTTGCGACCAGTAGAAGCGAAGAAACAGCAGGAAATGTGTAGAAAACGGGGAAATCGAAAAACGGTTCAAGATACCCAAAAGATATGTACGAAGGATACTTTATGTCTATCGTTTAAAATTCGTGACCAGTCGTTCTTGCAAGTGCAACGGGACGCGACCGACGTCGTCGAGAACAGCTTTAAAAAAAGGATGAGGAGGTTGTTTGCAAAAACAAATTTGGACACAGTAATACTGTAAATTGTATTATAAATTAAGTACATAGTTATATAAGTTTGTTAACAGTATTTACTTTTCATTATTGCGTGTCATCTATACTAATATATAAAGCTGAAGAGTTTGTTTGTTTGAAACTTTGTTTTGTTAGAGTTGACAAATTCAATTTAAAACATTGCCCTGTGACTAATACAAGCAAAGATAAAGAAAGAAATTGGGAAAATTATTAATCATTATGTGTTTCCGAGGCGTACGCTGCAAAAAGGGTTCAAGATACCCAAACAATATGTATGAAAGAACGATTCCTCTTTAAATGGCCCAAAAAAAGATAATCTTAAAAAATGCAAAAAGGGACGCCATCGACTTAGGGGTAATAGCTTAAGTTTTAAAAGATCACAGTGGCCGACACAGATAGTTTCAAATGAAAGCTATTTTATTAGTAGACATTTTTATTTATTTAAACTACACATCTAACGATCACGTGAATGTATTACATATGTGTTTATTAGGCTTCAGTTAATTCCATGAAACGCGAAATTACGAATAAACAACAAATTTGTTCTATGTCATGTACTTTGTTGTTAACATGCAATAGCTACTTATAACACTAGCTGGCAAACATAACACAAATATAGTAAACACTCGGCAATAATTTGTAATCACGCGACACATTTTATTGAAGAAAACGTAACACGATACGGGATACGATAAATTACATAAACTTCATACTTATAAACATTAATTGTGCACACGCATACAAATACCTAATATCGAATAACGAAGACTGTGTGTTTAATGTTGATAAAAGTATGTTTTAAAATTATAATTTTTTCCAAATATCCAAAGCCGAGACAGGTCGACAGCGTATTTTGTTAAGATGTCGTATTGTTGTGTGTGCTTGTCTGTCCTTCTCTACCCCATAATACAACATATAAGTTAATATCTTTTGTGTCTTTTATTAATCGTAGCTACTGAGTAAGTATGGACATTCCAGGATCGCAGGAGATTCAGTCGGTTTGAGTTCGTCTTATATTTCCTTCAGATAGAAGAAGGAAATATTATTATCTTCCCGGCGATAGAAACCGTAATTTTAAACGGGTTTTCCCAAGAAAATATAAATGAGACCTAAATGGTTTGTTTTAACAAGGCACGATACTAAATATTCATAACAGTACAAAATACTAAATAGTGCTTCTTAAAATAACATGTATGTAGTGCACATTTATATAATTTATTTATTTAAGTGTTTAGCACTCACAACTTTACAATGAATTTACAAGCTATTTTAATTTACATATAGCAGTACACATTTAAATAAAACACTTTCAATGGTTTAAAACGTGAAATTTTTTCGTTAATTTAATTTAACGACGGCTTTTTTTTTGAAAGCTTCGGAGCATCTTTGGATACAGGGGTAGCGTTAACTAATACATATATATCAAGTATATATCATATCAATTTTTGAACTGTTCAAAGTGTTTTATTTAAAAGTATAAGTATCCTGACGGCTTAAACCGAATACAGGATAGCTCGTAGATCTTGTACAGTCGAATGAAAAATCGAAATAAAAATTCAATAAGCGTTGCGTGTGACGCGAGGAAATAAGCATACCTAGTTAGGCGTGATTAGGTAACTAGGTATTCTAGTTCAAGTGCAAGGAGCATGACGTAACCGTCGCCGTATTACACTTCTATATTTAAAAGTAGGCACTTCTCTACATACATGTACCTTTCATCCTTAAGTTTTCTTTACAAGTACATGTGATCCAGTATTTTTCATTTCAGAAAAAATATAAATATTTAAACAAAGTTTACTAGCTAGTTGGTGTTATAACACAAGTGCATTGCCAAAAATTAATGGTCCGTGGGTTCTGTCCCCGCCGAGTCCAATATTTTTCTATACAATTTATAATTTTTCAGAAATATGATAGACTTTGGAAATCTGGATATTATTACTATTATAAATATATTAATTCCGTCACGTACGTCATAGATCTCAGAATAGACAAAGCCGAAGGGCGATAGCGCGATATTTAAGGTGTTATATAGCTGACTGATAGGGTCCACTTGATGGTAGGTAGAATACTTACCATCAAGTAGACTCCATGCCTATATCGAAGTAACTTCAAGGTAGCAGAGGTCCGTGGATTAAAACCACGCTCTGCTACCATAAAGTTATTTTGAAATGAAAGGCCGAGATTTACCTACCTACTGCATGTCATTTTCTACAAAGATCCGTGTGCAAAAGAGCGGTAAAACAAAAACTTACGAGATTTTACATGTACTACCAACGTAAGACAAGAAACGTTAACAGTCCTGCCAACATTAAATCAATGTAAATCATTGCACAGATTATCTAACATTGTCCACTATTATAAAAAACAAAACGTCTAATATTTCTTGAATTATTTATTTAAATATTCCATTTTCAAAAAACAATGTTTGTAAAATTCCACGGTAAACAACGTATTTGAATGAGCCTATCGTAAACTGACTCGCGACTGATCTCCATACAAACAAATAAAAAATCTCTGTGAGTTCAAATTTGAGTGTTTTGCTAAAGTCATATCTTGATAATGAAATGAATCTAGAATAGATGATCAATTATTAATGTCATATGTTATCTAATATATAAAATATTCGTGTCACGGTGTTCGAACTTGAACTCCTCCGAAACGGCTCGACCGCTTATCACCAAATTTGATATGTGTATTCAGTAGGTCTGAGAATAGGACACCATCTATTTTTCATCCCCCTAAGTGATAAGGATTGTTCACCCTTAAATTTTTTTATTTATTTAGTAACAAAATTTTTATTTTCCATTTTATTATGATACAACATACAAAAATACATACAATCCTCAATTTTCACCCTTCTACGATCAACCCTTATTTTTTAATAGACATTTTAGTAAAATTATTTATATGGCAAAACAACGTTTGCCGGCTCAGCTAGTATATTATAAAGCTGAAGTAATTGTTTGAACTAGCTAGGACTATTAGTTGGAATTGAAAAAATATTTTCGTTGTTAGGCCATATAACACAAGGCTTCGACCAATAGGAAGAAGGATAGCAAATAAACGGCAGAAAGTGGACACAATTTTGAGCGCAGTTCAAGAGACAAAAAAAATATGTAGATATAAAAGAATGAAGAAGATACTGTCTATAGTTTACGCGAGTTACACACACACACACACACACACAGTACACATTTAAATAAAACACTTTAACGGTTTAAAACGCAATATATTAGTTAAACTTATTTGAAAATGATTTTTAACTTCGGCCCGACGTTTCGGCTGCTAATTTAACTGCAAGTTTAACTAATATATCGCGTTTTAAACCGTTAAAGTGTTTTATTTAAATGAAGAAGATTCCTTTATAAATGAACTAAGATCGCCCGGGTACGTTTATCTTTTAAGATTACCTACTAAGAACGACGGGGCGCGGTCGATGTCGTGGGTTAGCAAAAATAAAAATTATATGCTGTCCAATATAACGCGGACTAAGTCGCCGGCAGAGCTAGTAGAAGATAAAAATTGTTTGTTTGCAACCAAATCTTCGACTGAAACGGCTACGAGTAGAATCATTTGACTAAATATCTTAACTCAACCAATTTTCGTAATAGGTTATAAACCCTGCACAAATAATTGTTGAGTTCGAGTTTACCTATTAAGTACTCTAACAGGTCTCAAAGTAGCAACTCGCTGGTGTGTACCCCGCACTAGAATCACGATTCTCAGCCATGGCTGAGGCGCATGTATGGCGGAATCGTATTAAATCATAAATGACGTAATCCCTTTGAACACACTTATGTAACAGACGACGCAGTAAACAATTATGTATAATGTGTTATTATATGCAATCATTATTCACAAGTAGGTACTTCTACTGTGTGTGGGGGGGGGGACATGCATGTGTTTACTTA